GAATGATTCACAAAAAAAACTGAATTATCCTAATAAAATCAAAATTGAATTTGAAGTTCTTTAATGACTATGGCCATTCGTGAATTGAGATTTACACAACATATCTTCAAACATACAAAGAATAATTTCTCCCTGAGAGAGCAACCTAGAATCTTAATACGGAAAAAAGGAGTCAACGTAGAAAATTTGAGGGGTTTAATGTTATGGGGCAGGAAATTGTGCTGAGATCGGGGGGGAAAAAACATTGGTTAACAGTCGATGGCAGGTAACAAAAGCAACCCTATTGATCATTTAGTTTAATCTCATGAAACTAATGAGCAAAGCCCCTACAATTCCCCTAGACTGATAAATAGTTTAGACAGAGATAAACAATATATAAAAGAAGTACATAAATAGTTAACATTAAACACTGTAAAATTCATTTTTTTCAGAAATCTTTATTCTATTGTTAAAAATTTAATAAAGATATATGGTTTCAACATACCTTGGAAGAAATTCAGTAATAATTGAGAGATTTGGAGCACGAGTAACGGCTCCCATGAAAAGAACAACATTAGGATGCCTGAGCCTTTTCATGATCCGGACCTGGCAAGCCAAACCACAAGCTAAATCATTTATGCAAATTCATATCCAACACACTAAAATTAGTTAATGAAAGTAGCATCAACATAGAAATCTATAGGATGGTGAGGGTTATTCAGTGGGTTGTAGTATGGAAAAAAGTCGGTATTCAACTTAAAGTCGTCGTCTAAATTTCTCAGGAAACACTTTGCTCTTAAAAATTCTAACACCCGTGTCTATTTAATAATGTAGAAACTAGTAGAATAATAACTCCACACGAGCATTTCAATAAATCAAACAGTTCTGTGCACTGGAAAAATTGAACTAGGTGCAAACTGCTTAAGTTAACCCCGTCCACACACCCAAATATAGATATATTAGGCTTTGGTCAAGAGGCTTTTGACGGTGGCAATACGTCACAAGAGAGTGCTTGTACCTCACTTTTGATTTCTTGAAGGGATTCACCACATATAGATTGGTCGAGGAATTTCTTGACAGCAACCTCCTAAAAAATCAGAGAGTGGAAATAAGGTTAAATAATTACTTTCCAAAGAATGCAAAGTTGAGACAGTAATAAGAACTCATAGAGCAAACAAAAATTACCAAAAGACTCAGAAGAAGGGGGGAGAAAGAAAAAAAAAAAACTAAAGTTGGAAGCATCAAGGTTTCCATGAGAAACTCACAGTTCCATGCCAATCTCCACGATATACCTCTCCATATGATCCTGCAAACATAAAAAAGGCAAAACAATTTATATTAAAAATGAAAACACTTAACAACACATAGTTAGGAATGGCTAGATGACATGAAGTACATATATTGACACAATATAGAGCACAGGTAAGTACCAAGTCCGATACGCTCACCCAAGGTGATATCCTCCCATGGAATCTCACAGTCTGCAACATTGTCAAGTGTGACATCAGATTTTGCTCTATCATTACCTTCTGATCTATCTGATACTCTCTCACCCTCCAAATTTGCCCCTGAAGAATCATGCTCCTTGTCACCACTACCTCGTGACTCATAAACTGCAGCATTTGCTTCTCCAGCGCTTGTGCCATCCATTGGGCTAATGAACACAGCAGCTCCACTTGGCAAATGAGCACGAGTCTCCAAGTTTTCACACTGCTTACTGACAGCTGCAGTTGTTGCTACCACAGCTGCAGCTGTAGCAGTGGCAGCAGCTGCTACAGGAAGTTCAAGGCTTGAATCAGCATTATTCTTCGCCACAGCAACTACCATTGACGATGCAACAACTGCCGCTGCTGCAGCGGCAGCTGCAACAGGAACATTTTTTACATAATTTGGGGGAGCTACTTCATGTTGTGATGAAACAGGTTTTCCGGTTACTTCTCTTAAATCTAGCTGATGCTCCAGTTGACCACAAAGACTGCCTTTATAGTGCATACCATGATAAGGCAAAGGTGGCAAAAATTGAGGTTGATTAAGATCATCACGACCCGTAACTTTTTGGGTTTCATCATTCCTTCTGTTTTCCTCTTTACCTTCAGTTGGGGGCTTGGACTCAACCATTGAGACATCTAACTGCTCAGAACAAATTTCACTAAACAAGTTTGGAGGAGCAACAACACCACTTTCAAGTAACACATCATGAAGTTTCTGAGCTAACTGTGGATTTTCTTTGGCGGCATCAATCATGTATTGTGAAACATCCTTCACCTTCATTCTGCGTACATCCGGGGAGCTAACACCTTCGGTCCAGGAAGGAAATCTTGCATGCATGTAAGGATAAATAGGCCTGCTCAGAATTTCCCGAGCCAGCTCTTTCTTTACACTTAACAGATTTCTGAAATCATCTGACATCTCACATCCTCCCTCACCTTTAATTGGTATGATTAAATTTGCAGAAGGAAGGTATTCACCTCTGTCATCAGATTCATTTCCTGCCACGGTAAGATTTCTAGACTTGTATCTCCTCTCCAATGTCCCAGAGTCTGAATGGTCTTCAAATGAACTAGCAAACCCACTACTAGAGGAAGCTACATGAGATGAGTCAACATCTCTGGACAAAGGACTAGTGGAAAAGAAAGATCCGTCGTATTCTACATGTGATTCTGCTGCATCAGATGGAATCAGCGTGCCAGGGTCCGCCATTAGATCAACAATGTACTCCCTGAAATTCCCATTATCATTTGTTTAAAATAACAGATTAATAATATAATCTGAAGACGCATTATCCACTTCAAGACCATTCAATAAAGATCTTCAGCAAATACACATCTGCAACAACTACATCGACAGTTAATAGAAAAGAAAATGTGTATCTTTGAATTCTAAATACCAGTACCCTTCCCTCAACAAAGACATTTATATAATCTGCTCACGGCAAAGCCCAAAGATTCATATTTTAGAGATATCATTGATGAAGTTCTTCAGTCACTTCATGTGTTAATGGCCTTACTACATAATAACACAAAAGGATTCTATATCCAGCTAAGCAAAATGAAATTGAAGAAATAAAACATTGCCCTTCAACGAGATGGTTACAACCTTACAGGCCTTAATCATCTTGTTGACTTGCTAGAAATTGGAAAAATAAAATAAAATAAAAATAGCAATAACCTTCCATCATCAATCTTTACAAAATTCATTGCTGCATCATCAGAACCAGTATATTGCTGTCCTTTCACTAACCGGCAAGGGATGCCCACACTGTCAGCCAAAACCTGCATTGCCATTCAAAATAACGTTCATGTCTACAACAAACACCCCAAAAACAAAAAGATACAACTAACAAAGATCGTTAAATGAGGAAATGCAGGATCTAAGAAACATACAAGAACATGTAGCAAGAAAAAGCTGTAAAATCGTGTAGAATGAAGTGCATCCATCAAGAAATCCACGACCACTGCATTACTGGTGAAAAAAAGGCAACTTTATTTTTTTGGTCATAGGAATTGGAAGTTTTTACGAAAAGGAATCTAATCCCAACCAAGGGTACGGATGGCAATTTGGCCCACCCCCGCCCCATCCCCATCCCCATCCCCATCCTCGTCCCCACATCCCCTTACAAACCTGTAATGTCATTACATATTTCTAACCTTCTAATGTTCAAACCACCCTCTAACGCCAAAACAAGCTGGCCTTTGGAAAATTTTCATTTTATAAATGAGATGCGGAGAGCATCCAAAGAGGGAATTGTAAAGAAAGTGAGGAAGTTTTAGAGTAAGCAATGCATTGGGCTACTGTAAAAATTCCATTTCCTTCATCTGAAACTCCCAATTTATTGGTTTCAAAGGGCAGACAAAAATTACCACAAGCCCCTTCATGCTCTGGAGAGCTATGCATACCTCTATCTCTTGTCAGTAGAATACCTTTTTCTGTGTAAGGTGAATAGCAAATGCAGTTGGATTACCAATTGCAGATGCAAGGACAGTGAAGTGGATGTGATCTGCAATAGTCCAAAGAGAAAAGGGGAAGAGCTTTCTTGTATCACCTACTACTGAAATGAATTTCAAAATGAAGTATGATACAAGGAGGTTTAGTGAGGGTTTCATCTTAAACTATCAGGAAAAATTGGTGGGCCAATAACGAGCCATTGCAATGGTTAAAAGAACTAATTGGATAAAATAAAAGCTCACATTTACCAATAGGGAACTCAAGAAGTATGTAAGGTTCAATTTGAGGCGATCAAAATCCATTATAGTGTCAAAATAAAACTGAAGTTAAAATCTCATTGCAGAGAAAAAGAGTGATTAGAAAGGAGGAAATATTGCGATTTGTCTTGTGGGACTACAATATTCACCAACTTCCAATGTTAGCTTGGCTCTGTCGGCAAAAAGAGTAGGTTGATCGGAAGTTCACAGCTTAGAAAGACACTTAAATCTAAAAAGGAAGGACTTATCAGGAGCACAGTTTTTATTCACTGAAAGTCTTTATGCGCAATCATCTTTTGATTTTGCGAAGAAGATGAAAAAATTGTACAATTTTCTTATTGAGGGGCTGGAAGGAAGAGGTACAAGTATAGGGGTCCGATAACTAAATTACTTAAATCAGATGAACAAACATTTTAGACCCTTGACCCCTCAGATGGCAGAAGGTTGGTTTCTTCTCATCAAAAGAGGCATTGTTCTTGGACCTGAGGGTTCAGGAAGGAAACGTATTTATGCACTTGCTAAATTGTTTCTCAGGTTTTTCCCCACAATGGTCATCATAACTAATTGATTTAGAGAATTATCAAACAATTGTCAATTTCGAAAACAGTGAATGAAAAAAAGAAAATTGCAAATGTATAAATGCATAAGCAGGAAAGTGCAAGGACTATATCTCTCATACGAAACTATAAGATAACAATGTCTCTTGACAAATTTCTTACCATTCACTAGGAGATATAAATGATGCAGTAAATGGCTCACTAATAGCAAACAAAATATCAGATGCATGTTTTTTTGGTTATTTCTAAATACTTAAATAACTAAAAGAATGTGAAGTACCTTGAACAACAATGCACGATGACGGGGCAATCCAATTGTCAAAGAACCAAGAGGCAAAACCATGCTCCCAAGTGTTGCCTTCAAACTATAACTAAGACTTTTCCATGCTCTCAACATGGTGTCTGGATCCCCAACTGAACCCCCCATGTAGTCAGAAACCAAGGCAGCTAGCTTTCTTACCACATCACTGCCTACAACATTTAGAGATTCTGACCTTGATTTGACTGCCATCTCTAGTGCCTTCTGTTCAAGTTTTAATAGGTTAGCATCAGCAGCCCTATTGACCATAATTGCTTCCCAGCTGATGTTATCTGACATCGGCACTCCTTGCAGATCAACAAGGGATGGCATCCGTGATGAAGTGGACTCCGTCAAGATGCCATATAGGTCGTAAAACCCATCCAATATCTTGTCATCATAGCCAAGAGCATTGTAATTCTGTGAAGCACACATAAATCTACGATATGAGATAGGTTAGAAAGGAATAAACATATGACAAAGAAATATTGTTACAAGAAAGCCAAGTATTGTAACTGAATCATATGACCTAGAAATGTCCAGGGTAATTTATGAAAACTGATTAATGAGCTATACAAACTCTATTTTATTCATTCAATGTAAAATGTTTCTTGGGAAGCAAAGCAAAGGGACAGAGAGAAATCAGCAGAGGAGAAAAAAATTTACTTCATTCAGTCCTTTCAAAAATAAATAATGGTTATATCCAATATAAAAGTACAATAAGATCACAAATATACAAACAAACCCAGTAGTAAAACATCAAAGAAGATCAGTGCAATTACTAATGAGAAGCAAGTAATGGAATACATTGAGATGCAAGAACAATTTCCATTTTTGTGACTGTCTTTTACCATACGACTCCATATAGATTGACAGTTCATACATACTCCCAATGCAAGTGTTCCATGCACTTTCAACGACTCAATTCTGAAAAGTTCCATTCCCCTTGAAAAGTAAAATGACCTGAGTATATCATTATATCTAGATTTTGGGCATTGCAAGGATTAATAAGCAAAGTTTTTTTTCAGCCATCTGCTAGTGGGAAGAAGTCATACATAGTGATTCTCATGGGTACTCTAGACATTATTATACTATCAAATATGGCATTCAGGATAAAGAGTACTTTTTCATAGTTAGTATGATTTCCCATAACCTGAGAACCACTAACTCCTCTCGAGTCCTAAGCCTTTTTTTCTTTTTTTTTTAAATTTCTTCAACCATATTTCTTTGTTGGTGTTACTACCATAGCTGGGCTGAAAAATCAGCACAAGCATAACCCAAACTTCGCCTTGGGAATGACATACATCCTTAAAAACTAGCCACTTAACTGACCTTGGAATTATGTCTGGTTTCTGAAGGTCGAAGCAATTAATTAAATTGAAGCTAATTCATGCATTAAAGTACACCTCTAAAAACCCTCCATCAAGAGGCACCACATTATTTGCGTCTCGTGACATTGAAGTTGACTCAATCACCACAATTAATTTAAACTTAATTTAATAATGTCATCCATTGACATGGTAGCATGCAACCATGGAGAACCACTCATACAACCCTATCATGATTCTGAGCATGGAACAAATATCATCAATCAAGTCAACTAAACTGAACCCAACAAGGCAGCTGAGAATCACAAACTTACCCAGTATCGATATGCAACAACTTCTGCCGGAGTATTCTCAGGAGGACATGATCCCAAACTGATCTGCTTGACAGCTTCAATCTGAACTGCTTCAGGGTCCTCCTTTGCACTCAATTCCAAGGCCAATTGTATTTGATATTCCTCTATATCCGGATTATCCTTCGGGTTGTTAGAACCTGAATCACACCTTGCAGCTTCCAAAACAGCATCCAATCCACCACTACTAACTGAATCAAGGGTTTCCATTCTCTCCCCTCTCATCGCATTCGAAGATGATGGGGGACTAGTGCTAGGACTAGGATTAGGATTGTTTCTATTTGTAACTGAATTCAACCATCCTGAAACAGAAAAGGGTTTATGCTCAGAATTATGATGGGAACGAGACTGTGAAAACCTCTCAGGGTCGGGGGTTTTTAACCCATCATTCAATTTATTGCCCTTGGATGAAGCGGACCCTTGAGAATCTTTAGATTGGTTAGACATGATGTGAAGTTTCTTTAAAAGGTTCTTCATACTATTTTCAACAACCTAAAGTATTCAATGCTAAAGGAGAAAAAAAACTAGCCATAAACCTCTCCATTGCTTGAAATTGAAATCTCAATCACAGCAACAGAAAGTGCAAAGTTCAAGCAACCAAACACGACACATCAAAATCCAAGAACCACCACAACCATTTCAAAGCAATACCCAGTAAAGATTGTTTATATACAACAATATCCATATGCCCAACTTAAAAGAAGAAGAAAATACTCAGACCCAATCTTGAAGATGAACATAATAAAGAAAAATTCAAATCAGAGAACACAAGAATATACTATTAGATTAAGCAAATTGAGAACAACGAATCAATACACGAGTAAAAAGAAATGATACAGTATGGGATGGCGTGAAGAGAGAGAGAGAGAGAGAGAGAGAGAGAGATGGATCTTTGTAAGGAGGTAGGAAAGAATAGAGTCATTAAATTAGAAAAGAGAGGAGGGAGTAACAGGGGAAGAGCTTGGAAAAGGGTATAGGCAGAGAGAGCAAAGACCAGCAAGTGGGAGAGTGGGACCTTGACAAAGATGACCCTACTTCAAAGTTTTCTTTTTTTTTTTTTTTTGGATTTCATTTCAAGGTCTCAGAAAAAGAAAAAAGAAGGTTAAATTGGTGGGAAAAAACAGAACCAACTTGCACTGTCTGTCTCTCTCTCTCTCTCTCTCTCTCTCTCTATCCAAACTCTCTTGCCAACTGGATGGCGACTGGGAGCCCAAAATCCAAAGTGTCAACTGAGTTGGAAAGTTGTGGGGGCTATTGATGAATTAACAAGTTGGGGTAACGCTACTTCCAGCTCTACTTTTGCTATTTTAATTGAATCAGTTTTGTCGTATCCATTTACGTCACTAGAAGACAGAGGAAGTGGTGTATTAGGAAGTAGTGAAATTCAGGCGCCGTTCGGTGGAGTTTTAAAACGTTAGTTTCAGAATTTGATTTGAATATAATGTTTATTTAAGATTTTTAAAAATTAATTTTACATTGACTTTTAAAAATGCGGTTGAAGGCGGGAGAATTTATGCTAATCGATCGTCCCACCGGATGTCTAGCCACCCGTCGTCTGGCCTATTGATCGGGATAGTGCAATTTTTTTTTTTTTTTGTAATTGACACATGTTAATTTTTATATATTCAATAAAAAAAATATTTTTTGAATTTTTTAAAATTTTTTATGAGATTTAATAGAATTTTGGGTTGTGTTTTTAGTTATAAGTTGTAAGTTTTTGTATCAAATATCATATGTCACATCAAAAATTTCCCACTCAATTTAAAACTCTTTTCAAAACTCATTCACCAAACAAATTTTTTACACTCAAATCATAATTTCAAAACTCACAAATTTAAAATACAACTCTATTCTCAAATCATATTTAGAAAACTCTATCAAACCCAATAAATTCTTCTACAGTTAGATTTGATTAGCAATGTCTAAGATAACATGTATTTATAAAATTCAAGGTAGTTTTATTTGTATCCATAATTTCTCTCAGTTCACACTATACTTTTAATTTTTTTTTCACTTACACCTCTATCTCCCAAGCAAATTATTATTCAAGACAAAATGTACAAATATTCTTCCTAATTCCACCATTGTCGATTACGATCTTCTGTTATTGCGAAACTCGAATTGTTGCTACTATCACCGCCATCTCATTAAGCCTCAATATCACGAATCCCGTCCCAATACTGGGGGTGTTTGTTTTAGCTTTTCAGAGTCAACTTATACTTTTAGTTTTGAAAAAAGTTATTTTAGACTGTTTGGTTAAACTTATTTCAAACAATTTCTGATTCTAACAGCTTATTTTAACTCAAAAAAGTTGATTCTGAGAAGCTGCTCACCCCTTGCTTCTGATTATCAGCTTTTGCTATGGACATGTTAATTTATGGTTATACTCTTAAATCTTTTTATTTTTTATTTTTTTAAAAATAGAAAAAGACTCAAATAGACTATAGATTATTATTATTATTTTTTATGAGAAATATAGACAAATAAAAAATAAAAATTAATTGAAAAAGCTATTTCACAGCTTATTTAACAAACACTACTCAGCAACTTAAATCTATAATCCAACAGTTACACCAAACAGATTAACAACTTCTGATTAAAGTCATAATCTATAATCTGTTAAGCTATAATTTATAAGTTGTTTTAACAGTTACACTAAACGGGGCCACTGTGGCCCTCATCAAGAAAAAAAAGATAAGAGATGAATACATCAGTGTGTTTGATTTGAATTTTTTAAATTAAATTTTTTGAAATTTGACTTTTTTGATTTTCATGTTTTTTTGTTTTTAGTGAATGTTTTTTAAATTTTAAATATTTTTTTACTTTTTTAGATGCATCTTACTTAAATGTATCTAAAAAGTAAAAAAATATTTTAAAAAATTAATAAATACATAAAAATACAAAAAATATACTGAATTCTTGTATTTTTTTTGTATTTTTGGTATTAAGTGAATTTTTAAAAGATTTTTTTTTACAATTTTTTTCACTTTTTAAGTGCATTTATGTTAGGTGTGTCTAAAAAATAAAAAAAAAAATTTACTTAAAATATTAAAAAAATTCAATAAAAACAAAAAAATACAGAAAATAAGAAAATAGAATTTTCTTAAAAGTATTTTTTTGAAAAGTAGAAACAAGCAATTAAGTCTTAAAAAAAAAAAAATTAACAAAGGCTGAAATGGTAGTTGCGAAGGAAGTGGGGAAAGGTGGCAAAATAATTTTATTTGAGTGAGAAGTTTTCTAAAATTATAACATAAGTGGAGGAGATCAAAATAACTAAACACATACGAAAATTATTTCGAAAACAATTTTGCTCATTTTCTCACTCATTTCTTTTCATCTTCTTGTCCTTTGTTGTAATTCCAGCAGTTATTTTCAGACAACAACCACCTTATTTCCCACCATTTCCTCATTACAACTATCTTTCCACTATCATCTCCACTTTTGCCACCTCCTCCTACTAACCACAACATATTTACTATCACATCGCCACTACTATCATGTTGCTATCAACACAACAAAACAATATTGCCTTCTTTGACATATGTATATTTTAGTCTAAAAGTCGAAAAATTATTAAAAAAATAAAAAATCTATAATTTATACTAAAAAATCAAAGATTCTTCTTTATTTTTATTTTTTGTATATCTTTTAGTAAAAAATCAAATAGTCATTCCAAATAAACTAATTTTTTTTATCTCATATTTTAATTAAAAAATCAAAAAGTTACTAAAATAACATGTTCCCAAACCAGGCCGAGTGAAAGAAAAATAAATAAATTTCAAACATCATCTTCCAATGCATAACAAATATCTTAATCAAAATTTAAAATTTTAAATGTTTTAACATATCAAACAACTTACATGATAAAAATTTTAACATTTAATTTTTAATTTATCAAACAATGCTTAATTTTAATTTCGACAATGCTACGTAGCTCAAATTTTGTGGCTTAAAAGTGGCTCAAATGGCCAAAACGACGTCGTTTTGAGTACAGAACAACATAAAAATGGCCAAAACGACGTCGTTTTGAGTACAGAACAACATAAAAATGGCAACGACGTCGTTTTGGCCATTTAAACCACTTTTGAGTCACAAAATTTGAGTTACGAGATATTTTCCTTTTAATTTAGACACAACTTAAAGTCTACTTTTGCTTAATAAAAAACCTAATAGAAGTTCCATCTACAAGTTAAAAAGTAACTACCAATCAATTACTTAAACAAAAGAAAAGGAAATTACTATAAATAAAAAAAATAAAATAAAAAAAGACAATCTTATCCATACTTTCTTTGCGGTGAAACTGATTCCCATGACTCAAGTTCACAACATTTTATTATAGATTTTATTGGAATTTAGTTAAGAAATTCCGTGCCACTTAACCATTTTCAAAACCTTTTAGTTAATTATTAATTCTGTAATGGAATTTTGGGTTTTAATTCAAAAACTTTTTGTTTTTGCTTTTGTTTTTGTTTTTGGTGGGGCCAACTTTGTTGAGATGAAGATAAAATAGAGTATTAAAAATAGCTGTAACCTAAGTATTTTGGGATATTATATTATATTTAATTTTTTGGGTGGTCAAAAGAGAGGACTTCAATGAAAAGATACTTTATTTGGGCATGAGAAATGGGTTTTGGTGAACTAGCAAATGTATGGCTGGAAATGTCCAGCTGCCCTCATAAATTAGTGACAATGACTTAACCTTCACTTTTCAAAGGTTTGCTTCTTATGGTTCACAAAAAATGATAGAAATTTTCCGCAAACTTTCTTGTAATCAACAAAATAATAAAAGAGCATTGATAGAGACTCCCTCCAATCACCACCTCCACCAGCTCCACACATACGTGGCGGGTGATGATTGGAGAAGAAGGAAAAGAAAAAAAATAGAAAAGAAAAACTGGCCAATGGGAGGGAAAGGGGGTCAAAGGGGTGGGAGGGAAAGGGGTCTCAAACATTTTTGATAATAAAATTAGGGAGACACCTTTATCTTTTTAAATAATATTTTATACCATTTACATTGTAAACTCTAAGTCCATATTATAAACAAGTGACATATGGCCAGCGGCGGCTCCAAGGCTTGGTCATGGGTGTCATCTGAACCTCCTGACTAAATTTTTTTATTTATTTATTATATAAATATTAGATTTTTAAAAAAAAAAATTAGTAATTGAACCCACTAAAATATAATTTTGAATTCATAGTTTTAAGTCTTACTCTTTTGAACTCACCAATAAAAAAAGTTTACTTTTTAACTCGTGTATTAGCATGTCTTTTTACTTAAACAATAGTATCAATATATTGAAATATTTTTATTTATAATTTTAGAATTTAAATTAATTTGTTGATTTTTTTCTCCATAGGTGATATAATGATTAATGTGAATTTTCTGTAATATATATGATATTTAAGTTTTTGATTGACACCACTAACAAAAATTCCTAGAGTCGCCACTGCATATAGCATAATAAGAGAAAATATTTTATATAAGTTTAACATATAAAAGTACTAACATGATGTGCGTTACTCATTATTAATTGTTTATCTTAAAAAATGAGATTGAAATTTAATGTGACCGACATCCAATAATAAGTACTTTGAAACTAAACACAAAACTAGTTATTGAATTTCACTTTTTAACACGTGACAAACAATAAGTAAAAAAATATGGGTAATTATCCAGTAATTTCGAAATATGGACACGTAATATTTATAGTATTATAATGGGTGAAAAAAGTAGATAGATGGAATATTATATTGGGTGATTCAAAAATATAATGAACATATTTAATGATAATTAAATAACAAATACAAACATGTAATATTTCGAGAATATTTAATAATTTTCCAAAGGATACACCATATCATATTGCGTAATATACCAATTACATAAAATATTTCTCACAAAATGGTATAAAAAATGGTGTGAACAGGACTTATCTAGAAAACCCATTTAGGTTAACGTTGATGTCATCTTTTTATCCAAAATTTGGGACCAAAATAAAAAAGGGTAACTCAGGCATGAGGATAATAACAACGGCAACAAGAGAGATTGATACTCTCTCTCTCTCTCTCTTGTCCTATTATGAAATGTGGTGAGTGACGTTGCAGACGTTGGATGCCCTGGCTGAAAGGGATGATGGAGGACTTTTTAGTCCAATCGAATTTTCTTTGTTATACTAGTCAGATAGATTGATAGATATAAAATTAATATTATATAAATTATTATTAAATTTTTTGTTTTGATTGACCAAATTTATTAATAACAATGCTACAACATCTAAAAAACACAATTTTTACAATCTCCACTCAGTTGTGATGGTCTAGAAAGAAAAGAAAAAAATAAATAAATAAAATGGAGTCCCAAGCATTTTGGTCTAGGAAGACACATAATTGACTTACATCATTTTTTTTTTTTTTGGGAGGGGTCACGAGGGTCTCTAACTTTGAGAATCCAAGCATTTTTTATTTATTAATAACATGGGGTATTTTTTTTTTTTTTGTTAATATCTTCTCTCTTTTGCTCTCTCAATCTGAATGTTAATTTTAGTCTAATTTTTCTTTTCCATATTGAATTAAATTCATTTATGTATTAAATAAAATAAAGAAGAATTTAGCTAAAATTGCTCAGTTAGACCCTTGTTTGGTGAAAATAACGACCCAATTTATTTTGTTTTTTAAATCCCAGCGCATAATTGAGTAAGGACAAAATAAAATATTCTTTTTTTAGGGATAATATTACCAAAGTAACATGTTAATGTTTATATCAATTTTGACAGTAATAATTTATTTATTTTAAAGAATTTCATAATCAACATGAATCTTACTTTAATAGATCTTGATAAAAAAAAATTCTAAAAATACTAATTTTATTAAAAATCAATATCTAAATCAAAAGTTATACTATTTTAAAATTTAATATTTTGATAATAGTAATATTTGTTAGACTTTTTGAAAAAACCTTTTATACTTGACACGGGGGGGATTGTTTGAACCAAATCTCCTTAAATAAAACTCAAGATTCTAACTAAGCTCAAACAAAACAAAGTTTTAACTCATCGACCTTGTAGTCCTAGATAAATATGCCTAGATATATATGTGTGTGTTGGAGAGTAAACAAGTGGCAACATAAGATAAAAGGCAGCATTCAAATTTTGATGAGGCCATGTGTCAAGCCAGGATCAATTCATAGACAAATAATGAAAGTTAGTTCAAAATTAGTCTAAGCTGTGCGTAAATTGATTCCAACACTTTAATCATAAAAAAAAATTAAAAAATTCTTAGACAAATGGTGAAATGTTTGATTATATCTCATATTCTAATACAGCCAAGCCAACCTATCCATAAGAAAATAAAAGAAGAAGGTATCCGCGTAGATGAGAAAGAGAAAGAGAGGGAGTGGTGGTGGACCATGGTGATGAACTTTAAGAAATAAGGGGAGAGAAGAGAGAAGAAATGTAATGAAAAGGGGGAGGTGAAAGAGAGAGTGAGGGGGAGGAGTGGTGACAAACAATAACAATGACAATGACAATGAATTTCAATAATGGGAAGACTGGAGAGAGAATAGCCATAATGAAAGGAGAAGTGGAAGGAGGAGAGCTTTCAGGAAGAACACTCGAAGCTCCCTTAATAAAGGTAAATGAAGTATTTTAAAGTAACTTACATTATGACCTAAGCCAAAATTATCACATCATGACATCGCTCTTTTAATAGTATGGACGTGGTACATGAATTAAAACTTAAAAGAAATACGATGTAGGAAGGTTAGTGTAATCTATCCTAAAAGCAGAGTATCAAATGAGTCGGGTATAAAACCATTGGCCAAAATGGAAAACTCAAGCATCACACATAAGATTATTTGATAAAGAATACTGTGGTGGTAAGAGATTATTCAACAGATCCAAAATAACTGTGTAACATCTTGGTTTTCAAAACTACGAATCTAAGGCAATTGAACACAAATTTACCACCATTTTGTATGAAATTGTTGCACCAGATCTCTATTTGTAGAACAATAGCCTAGAGCAAAAGTACTGATCTGTCTAAGCCGATCTGTACAACAAAAGCATTTGAATTGCACCCAAAAATCTGATAGACAGTTCAACCCTGGAACTTTTCCAAATCTCCAGCTAAAATTTCACCCAGATTCAGTTAAAAGTAATGAATTCAGCTGAAACTAATTTCCACATTTGAAAAGTATGGGTAAAACCCATATTAGCACAAACACGAAATATGATTCAAGGCTACTTCAAATGTATTCAAATATTCCTACTCAGATAAAAGCATAAAACTATAAATACAAATTACAAATTCTTGGCCGGCAGGAAAGTTGCCCAAACACCACATTCAATTTTCACCTCCACCATCAATCAATCACATCTAGCTTTTCAACGCACTTTGTCGCTCCCTCCACAGATCCTTGCAAGCACTCCTCCCAAATGTCAGTCCTCAAAACGAAACAAGCTGTGCAGTTATTGGTCCTTGCTGCAATTGTTGTCAATACTGGTGAAGCGGTTCTTGCAGTTGAACTTGAACTTGAACATTCAGTGGTGCGTTCATATCCATAGTTGCTAGTTCTTCCAACTCTTGCAATGCCGCGATTGCACTCACAGCAGTTTCATTGTTTAAGTGTGGCTTCACCATGCTGATGGCCTGCTTGACTCTCAATTGCTACAAGTAATACAAATACATATGGCACGTTATCTACCTTTAAGTCATTTGGAAAGCATGGTGAAACTCAAAGATATTGTTACTAGCAACTACTATTTAACTTACAAAATGTGCAATTTTGTTCTTGAGATCTTCATATGCCACCGATTGTTGAATTGCAGTCATTGATCCATTCTAATATATCCCAAAATGAGGCTACTCAATAAGAATCAAATAGTCCAGAAAAAAGGGATCTAAAGAGAAAAAAAATTAAGAAGAAGAAGAAATAGCAAGCATCTTTTTCAACAAAACCGAAGGCAATTTTTTTGTCAATTGTAATGAAGTAATTTACAAATATGAAGATAATTACATTAAACTAAAAAATCAACTATATAAAAAGGTCAAGACAAGTCCGCAAGCCCAATATCACATAAATACAATAAATAGCCATTTAATAGGGAAGAAATAAACAATTAAATACCTCCTAATTACAGGGGTCATGTTAGTATACACATCCCTTTTGGAGTGACCACAAATGTCACAAAATCTTTTTTAATCATAACTAAAAAAGAAGTCATAACCAACCATTACAAAAGGTATAATATAACAAATACTTTTTCTATCCCACAATAATTCATAACCAACATAAATCAAAACTAACCTACAATCACATAACCAACCATCACTTAAGGTATAATCAGGGCCGGCCCTGGGCTAAGGCGAGTAAGGCCTGTGCCTAGGGCCCCCAAAATTTGGCCCAAAGTAGGGCTCCAAATTTTGAAGATCCATTATACTATCAAGCTTTAAATAAAGTCCAATTATTGTTAGAAGCCCTCAAAAACAAAACAACCCACTAAAATAGAAGCCCTCCAAAATAAAACAGCCCACTATAAAAGGCCCAAATAAAAACATGTTGCAGGCCTATATTAAAAACAAATAAAAAAATTAGTCCAATTGAAAACAAAGGGCCCAAATTTACTCAAGCAAACTTGAGTGGCCACTAGCAAATATATATTTTTTTTGGGGCGTACGTACAAGGGGCCCAAATTTATAAGCTCGCCTAGGGCCCTGAATTTTCAGGGCCGGCCCTGGATATAATATAACAAATATTTTTTCGATTATTGTAACCAAAACAATAATCCCAATAAGTTATAACCAACATAATAATGAGTCATAACTAACCTACAATCAAGTCATAACCAAGTAATAATAAACACCACATTAGCTCATAACCAAATGTTACATACTATAGAATTTCCCTAATTGCAGACCTCTCAGTTGAGAGTGTGCAGAGTGGCCAATAGAGCTAACCCGGTTGACAACTTCATGAGTTTAGTTCAAAAGTGGATTAAAATGGCTTTTAGAAGCAATTTGTGAACCCATCTCAAATTTATTTGCAAATTACAACATCAAATTATTGCATTTCTCCTACTGAAAGGTTTATTTGGCAAAAGGTGTTTAAAGATTTAACTTAATTCCTGTCATGCTATATCCAGTGTTAGAAAGATTGTTAATTTCTAGCAATAAAGCCAAAACCAAAACTGACAGTGCCTTGGAATATAGTAAAAAGTTGGCTTTGGCTTTTTTATAAAATATACTATATAAATTTGATTAGTATTCTCAATTTAATTTAATTTAATCTAATATTTACCTTCTTGGGCCGGCCCAAAGGTTTCCCAGAAAGTTTTCTGGGCTTCTTAACCGCACCACCAGCCTTAGGCGGTCGACCCCGCCGCTTCCCTGGCAACACTCCACCACCAACGGCGGCAACCAACGATCCACCACCACCCACCGCACCAGCCACCGCGTTCTTCGGCGGCCGCCCACGTGGCCGGCCGGACGCCTTCATTCCGGAAACAGCCTTCTTCAGCCGTGGCAACCCAGCCGGCCCAATGGGCCGAGCTCTAGGTGGGCGCCCACGTCCCTTGTTCAGGCCATTCTGGCCCATCAAAACAGACATCGATTTGGGCCTCGGAGGCCGTCCACGGCCCCTCTTACCCACCACAGGCCCACCAAACTCCTCCACTCCACTATTCAGCCTAGGCGGCCTCCCTGGGCCCTTTTTAGGCCCATCAACAACCCCGGAAAACACCAACAGAGGTTCCGACCCAACAACAACAGGATTGGACTGGGCCAAAAACTTGGGCTTGGGAGGACGACCAGGCCCTCTTCTGGGCCCAGGAGAAGAGTCATTGCCGTTAGCAGTAACAGTGGTAGTAGTAGCAGTAGTAGTAGGAGGAGGGGGAGGAGGAGGAGATGATGAAATAGGAACAGATCTAGGAAGCATGTAAGAGTACTTGACCATAACTAGGTGTCCGTTGTTCTTCAATCGCTTGAGATGGTGAGTCAACAAGGCCGAGTGAGTCGATGGGAGGTTCGTGTAAGCCTTCTCGATGTACTTCGCTATGGCCTGCCTGCTCGACCCGTTCTTCTCCTTTAACGCCGTTATCGCAGCTGTTATCATCTGTAAATCACACAAAAATCAACCAATTTCATTTCTAAACACACAAACTATACACATACATAGATATATATATAAATTAAATTATTCTGTATACCTCGGCGTAAGGTGGGTGGCTATGGATGTTGTTTGGGGCAAGGGGGGGAGTGGGGTTGGCGGCGTGAGCTATGTGGACTGGTGGTTCTACCGCCAGCGGTAGCGGTGGCGGTGGCGGTGGCGGTGGCGGTGGATCGAACGACCAGGGTTCCATTGGGGGTAGAGAGAGAGAGGGGATTTTAGAGAGAGAAAAATAAGGGCTGAAATGAGAGAGAAAGCGAGGGGGTTGGGGGTTCGGTAAAAGGGTTAGGTAGTCTTTACGCTTTATTGTATTGAAAACGAGATTAGGATGAGAGAGAAGCGCTGTGCTGTGGTTGTGTGGGTATATGTGTGATCGGACCGTTGAGGATGTAGATCTCAATTTTTCTTGTTTTTTTTCCTATTTTTTTATTTATTTAATTTATATATGTAGATAATTTATTGGTTTCACCCACTTTTCGCCCTTGTCTTTCTCCAAATTTTCATTTATATCCCTTATTTATTTTCACTTTTGCAATTATTGTTTCCACAAAATTAAAAAGATATATATTAAGAGATTGTTTGGGATGATCTAAATAAGTACACTTTTAACTTTTTATGAAATATAGGTTGAATTTGGGTTGGGTTTGAAGTGATGTATTAGAGAGGTGATGTGACTTAAATAAGATGATGTGATTAAATTAGTATAGTGACTTTTTGGCTTTTTGAATTTTTTTGAGAATGCCAAACTTGGCCTAATTATACACAATGTTGAGGGACTGTTCTATAAAATTTAGAGAAAATTGTAAAAAAATTCGAAGTAAAAAAGGTATAAGATATTAAAAGGTTGTTTGGGATGTTCTAAATAAGTGTATTTTTTTACTTTTTATAAAAAGATGTGTAAAAAAGTAGAGAAGAGATATTAATTGATGTGACACAAAAAAGATAAAAAGATAAAAAGTGTGGACTTATTTAGTCTTTGCAAACCAGGCCTAAGTTTAGTGGTTATTTTTTTATTAATAAGAGGTTCACTTTTATGAAATAGTTTTGTAAGAAATCCTTTTATTGGTTTTGGAAGACATTTTATTTCTAATTTTACCGCTTAATTTATCTGTTGACTTTTTAACTATATGTTCAAATTTATATCTGTTTGTTCAATTTTTTGACTATCTGTTCACATTTTTTTATCTGTTTAATCTTTATAACATATTTTTCCTATCTGTTCAAATTCACACAATTTTAAAACTTTTCTCTCTCTATTTGTTTCTCTCTCCACTTGTATTCTCTCTGTCTCTCTACTTCTCTTTTCTCTCTCTATCTATTGAAAATCTATCTGTTGAAAAAAAAATCTATATATTGCAATGGCAATCATCAGCACCATCATTAACAACAACAACAACATCTCTCTCTCTCTCTCTCTCTCTCTCTCTCTCTCTCTCTCTTTATCTGTAGGAATAAAAAAAAAGAGTGAGAGAAACAGCAACCAACACTGGTCTGACCTCAAAACCCTAAACAACCAAACAAACACAACTTTACTATCTTTTATCTGAGAAAATATACAAATTTATATATATATATACACACACACACATATGTATCAGTAGACAAGAGTGAGATTGACGAGTTCTTGAAGTGAATTTAAGAGTTGTACCTCATATACACAAATCTGTTGCAAACACACAAATCATCATTTTTGACCTCATATACACAAATTTGTTATTAATGGGACTAAGAACATAGTTAGGGTTACAAAAACCCAACAGATTTGCAATATGTTACTTGAGATAGACTTCGATAAGGCACATCTACCAGAGAATGAGCAAAAGACGTTGGACTTGTCATCGAAGCCACCGCTAATGGTGGCGACGAACAGTGAAAAGAATGTTATAGATGTAGATGCTTTTGAGGCTTATATAGACGACAACGGTAGTTGATGGGTGGTTGATCAGCTAGCTTGCGACGAAAGCTCGACGGAGGTGTGTAAGCTCTATGGCAAAACAACGATAGTGAGGCGAACCAGTGAAGCTAGCAAGGAGGCGACGTAAATAAAGTCGACGCTGGAGTTCTTTCGGTTAACTAAATCTGTTCGAAGAAAATGAAGACGAAGCCGTAACAAAAAATGTTAAAGTGGTGGCGGCGGTGAAAAAATAATATCAAAGATGACGCGACGACGATGAATAGATGACGATGATGATGGAGGAATGATGACAATGAAAAGTAAATAGAGAGAGAGAGAGAGGAGAGCAAAGAAAGAGAGAGTGAAATGTTTTGATTTAGTTTGGTTAGGGTTTGGAAAAAATTTATATATATATGGATAGTTTGGTCATTTTGTAGGAACTTGTCCTTATAGACAAACTATTTTAGAGTGTAGATCTTTGAATAACAAAAATTCAAAATTGAATTATGGATAACGACTCTAGTTTAGACTTGGCCCGTTTATTGTTTTGGATTTGGAATTCCCTTGTTTTATTGGTTGTTCAACTCCTTTTCATTTTATTGTTTGTTGGGTTTGGTTATTCAAAGTTTTGGTTGAGTTTGAAATAGGTTTGGAGGTTAGTTTTTTGAAGTGTTGTTGCCTAGAAATTTGCTTGTTTGCTTGAGCGACCATTCATGCGCTCGAGCAGTCTTTTGCAATATGTAAAACTATTGGGAGTTTGAGTTCTTTGCTCAAGCAGTCATTCTTGCGCTTAAGTGAACTTTTACAGGTCTGAACTACTGGGAGGGGTGCATTGTGCGCTCGAGCGACCTTTTTTGCACTCGAGCGGTGTTTTCGTTGTGTCTGGTTGCTTGAGCGATCATTTCTACATTCGAGCGATCTGTGTATATATCAGTTCGAGGAAGTCACTTTTTGGATCACTTTATCACTTCTCTCTCTCTCTCTAAATCTCATATATACAGACACACTCTCTCTCTAGACACCATTTATAAACTTTAAAAATGTAAGGTCTCGGTGTCCCACATCGAGAATGAAAGGGAGGTTCCTGGGCTATAAAAGTAAAAAACTAGATCCTTATATAGTATCAAGGCCTTTTCCCAAGTGGTGAGATCCCTAGCAAAACTCTCCAGTTAAGCGTGCTTAGGCTGGAGTAGTTTTAGAATGGCTGACCCACTGGAAAGAACAAATCCATGCGGACGTGGCCTAAAGTGGACAATATCGATGATATATGAAGGGTTAGGGCATCACAGTTTGTATCAGAGCTTAGGTTTAGAAACCCTTGAGACCTTGGGTAAACTTAAGCACAAGTCTCTTAGTACGCTTTAATTAAAAACATTTTATAATCTAAAACCTTACCAATAGTATAATAGTACCGTATTTTCTCTGTAGGATGTCGAGTCCACCCCATAACGATGATTGGCACATGGATCCAGAATTTGAGCCAGGAAATAAGCCATTACTAAGCAATCCAGAAATAAGGGCGGAGACTTCAGAGTGTCTGAACTAGAGGAAGAGGATCCGGAAGAAGAAGTGATGGAAGAGGTGAACGAGGAGGTTGATGTGGAAATAAACTCTGTGGAACCCTTAGCCGTCCTTCCTCCTGAAGAGTCTGAAGGAGAAGAAAGCAACACAGAGTCAAACCTCATCTCCTCCATAGAATATGCCTTCGAAGAAGGCGATGCGGACTCGGGAAATGTGGCGTAGGAGGTGGCATTCCCATTTGGACTAAGGGTGTATGTTAGGCTAGAACCAATAATGTCTTGTGAGTGGAAGCATCGAAGGGAGGACAACAAATACACAAGACCTGTAAGAGTCGTCCAGGAATTTGCTGGGACCATGTACGAGGTCGACCCTTTATCCCCAACCTTAGCCAACAATTACACCAACTCCTTCCACTAACAGGACATTTTCTTAGCGGCCCCACCGGCCGAAAAGATTATCCCTACGGATGGGATGGTAAACTTCCACGACCCACTCACTTACAAAGAGGTTCTTGTGAGGATTCTGGGCCAGCACGTAGGATTGAAAGGACCTAGGCTGTTAGTCCGTTAGAGGTGCTACGAACTTTACGATGAAAGATGGAAGTATGCCTGGAAAGTACATCAACACTATCCGTGGCTCTTCAATTAAGAGGGATTGAAGGAGGAGCAGACTAGGCTACTTAACAATTTTGTTGTGATCTCATTGTAAAAGCCTAGTCTTATAGTTATTAGTAATAGGGTGAGTGTAGACACTCCATTTTTTACCGACCTTAAGACTCATACGTCATCGATTGAGCGCTCGGTGATGACGCATGTTGTGCTCGTTTTGAGGTTACAGAGTCTCGGCTGATAGCCTTGCCTCCGGACTTCGGAACTCTTTTGTGCTTTGTCTCGGTTTGCGAACCAGGTTCTATTTTCCCTTCCCGAAGGGAGGGAGAGGTCTTGTAGACCATCTCTCAGTGGCCGTAGGCTACTTTTCATGGTCGTAGACCACTGTTCCCGTTTGGAGACCAGTTTCTGGTTTTCGAAGCCGTCGGCCGTGCGCCTCGGCTCGGGAACGCTTAACTTTCTCCGTTTGCTCCGGTTTTTGGCACACACCTTGTTTCCTCTCTCTAGAGGGACACTGTGGCCCAGGAGACCACCTTTGTGGTCGCACGCCACTTTCGATGCTTAACAGTAAGTTTTCGGGGCCTCCGGCCGCGCGTTTTGGCCCCCGAACTCTCGTTTTGCATCCGTCTTGGTTCATTTTTGGCATGGATCCTATTTTCATTGTTTTGGAAGGTGGTGCAAGGATGGGAGACCATTTTTTCTTCTTGGAGACCACTTTTCCCCACCGCCCAATTTTTCTTGTCAGGTAGCTGGTCTCCCTGACTTTTGAGCCACAATTACTGGTCTCCCACCATACCACTAGCTTGCTTTCACCTTGGAGACCACCCTAGGAGACCACCGACCAGCTGGCCCTTTTGAACCTGGTTGGTTGACCAGGGCAAGTGGTCGGCCGACCACCTGAACTGGTCGGCCAGTTCTCTGCAACTTTCTCTCACTGAGTTGCTTCCAGCTGTGCCAGTTGGGAGGCATTTGCTGCATCCTCCATACACGTGTATGGAGGATGTTTATTCTTGGTTTTTAGCTTCCAAGAGAAGTTTTGGCCTCTCTTCTCTATAAAGGAAGGACCTCCCTTCCTTTCTAAGGGTTCAAAAGTTGCTGGAGCATACATACACATATCTCCTTCTATATCTCTCTCTTTTAGAGTCAATAAAGCCTTGTTCTTAGCCCTTCACACACCATCTCACAACCACACACTTCCACCATTGCTTGGAGGTCCTTGGAGCTTGTTTGCAGAGCTTGAGAAGCTGGTTTCTTGGTCCAGA